GTCGGATAATAGAAGCAGATATGAAAAGGATGAATTACAACTGGACGGAGCTAGAAAGGATTGCCCAGGACAGGGTTGGATGGAGAATGCTGGTGAGCGGCCTATGCTCCTTCACGAGGAGTAACAGGCGTAAGTAAGTAAGTAAGTATCAAATAAGTACATTAATCTGAAGACACAGTTATTAAACTGCAACAGTACATAACTTTGCTACAGTTCACCATACCAATCGAATTTTCATTTATGAACGATACTACTTATAATTTGTTAGTACTAAAATGTGATTTGAAAAGGCAATTGTAAAATAAGGTCTCTATAAAGCTTGTCTAATAAGAAAATTATTTATTAAAAACATATATCTAAATAAATATATACTTAAATCACACTAACATGTCGTTGAAATCTACTTAAAATTAAATAAAGAATAGAGAGTGATCAGAATGTATGGTATATTCTCAAGACAATTTCATCAGTTTAGTTGATAATTCAAACGATTTTTTCAAATAGACAGCTACTTACATAAACCTTTCATTAAATATTGTCTTTGACTTATTCAGTAGAGCTTGTCAAACTTTAAACATTATTCGAAAAAAATTTCAAGATACCTTTTCTTAAATTGCAATTCCATTGTACATATTAGTAGATACAGGTTGAGATATTTAGATCAATTGTGAATGAACTGGAATTATTAATGACCATACCTTGTTTTCGTCAGTTATTAACATAAACTCATTCTTTGTAATGAAATAAAATTCACGCTGTTTGTTTGATCCTACTAAACATATATTATGCCTATTCTAAGTTATTAATCTGAAATTTTTATAATTTGTCCTTCTTCTCAATTCTATAAAAGTTTTTAGGAATTAAAAATGAGGTTCAAATCTGTATTATTTGAAATAAAAATGATCGCTACAACTTCACCCAGTAAAGAAAAACTAATAAATATAATTACTTTTAAGACGTATCTTTTATATTAGAGATAATGATAACAACCGTCTGGGATTGAAGTTCAAACCGGTGACAGTAATTGGTAAAACATGAAATTCCGAAATCATAATCATAATGTCGAGTAGTAATTGAAAAAAATTAGAAACAATATAAGCATCTATTAGCATAATAAATCAATCAATATTTTAAATCAAGATACTTGATGAGTGTAGTTTTTAACATTGGCTAGTAAACTGAGTATTACTACATCGGTTCTATAGCTGACAAAACACTAACAGGTGGTAAAATAGAACTCTGTCATATTTACTTTGATTTTGGCAATCGGGTACTATCACAAGACTTCGTAAACAACGTGTCAGTATATAAAATGTTACAATAATAACTTGTTACTATCAAATTTCGAGAAACTTACGTAATGTCTATAATAATCTGTAAGACGTTTTTGCAGAATAGATGGACCAGTGACTAGCAGTGGAAAATGCTTATATGAGGCACAGACTGATCAAAAATCACTCAAGATTACCGGCAACGAAATAATTTAAATCCTTTCTTATAATTTGCAAGACAGTAGATCATTCTTTTGAAAAATGCTTAATCTCATTAGATGTTATTTAGGATTTGCTTAATATTTAAAACAAGGGGTGTGACATTGAAATAAATCATGTAATCACTTCGGTTGCACAATTATATTACGTTTGCTTATGAAATACAAAGTGGGTATTCACCGTATAGTTTGTTAAGTAGTTCATTTACTTCCTTAAAGGAAATATTAACACTTATCTCCCGTTAAATACGTTACTTTAATGTGTAACTGGCATTTCACAGAAGCTTAGTGGTTACGGCATTTAACTCTCAGCCACGAATTCCCAGGTTAGAACTCCGCTCCACCTACTTCACCTTAAGTAACGGGGTAGTATCACTAGTCCTCAAACTTAGAGTGTGGCACATATTCGAGTACCTGATGGATGAGTTGACTTAAGCTTTCATAAAAGCTGAGCTTTAGTAAGTTACTGTATTTATTTTATCTTTATTTATCCACCAAATTTAATAAGAGTTCCAACAAGAACGAAACGTTTGGGGTCTAGTCAAGTATAAGTCAATGCAACTCATAGTTGAAGTTTTTGAACTTAGCATCACGTGACTATTGATTATCTAACATCAATTAAGTATGAAAACTATCTTTTGAATAAATCATATCTTCACATAACACATTCATAACTTGTTTGATTTATATTAATAAATAGCCAAGAAAGTTGATCTGTTAAAATCTTTAGGAATACCTACACCGAGATGTCTTTTAAATATATTCTTACGTTTATTCATGAAAATACTAGTGCCCATATTCGGTTTATTTAATATGAGAATCAGAAGAGTTATATAGTAGTAATTCATTCTCCTATTATTTTTGCATTGTAGATAATGTCCTACTACCAATGCATTTTTTTCTTCGAAATGAATGGTATTACGGGAGTGGAATAAATTTTATTGGCTAACATCAGTAATTTTACTTAAGGTACATGAACTACTCATAAAATGATAGTAGTTTGACTATTTCAAGTTTCAAAGGAGCTGTCATCTGTATAAATAGTAAACTGAGTCATACTTTCGATAGTAGTTTACCTCAGAAAATTAGCATACCAACTATTTTCATGAACAAGAATCAAAGTCTGATAGTTTGATCTAATCCGGTACTTAAGATGAATTAAAGTTGACAGTCTACCCGTCCTTGAAAGATCTCAACGTCTCCTTAACATAATAGAAACGACAAGTAAGCAACATCGAACCAAATTACCCTCTTTGTTGGATGGGCACATCTAGAGTCGTTTCCTTGAATAATACATGATATAGGAGAAGAGTAAGGAACAGGTCAATCGTCTACCATGTTAAGATAAGTTGAATTATTTAGGTTTAGTACAATTAATTGTATGGATAGAAACGTTGTTTAAGGTATTACTAGTCAAATAATTCTGGATCATAGTTACTCAGTCATGAACAATCTAGAACCTGGTATAAGTACACGAAGTCACTAACTATTGGTCTGGCCATGTAGGGAGATGAAGACTTTCAGGTCGTGGTCCGCGAAATAACCACACTCTACCATTATAGAACAAGTGATAATTCAAAAAACCCTGAATTTCAGTAATTTAACACTTGATTTAGCATTCACCTACGATTCTTTCTTTCCTGAACTAATGTAAATTGGTCTGACAGCCGTTTGTTTCAGCTTCTCAGTCACATATCTGTCGAACGAAATGTGTTTTGAACAGAACTACCAGATATCGCTAAACTTATTGGTCATGTGAACCAATGCGAACTTTCAAATGTCATAGTATGAGGAGCAGGAATTATATTTTGCATGTCTTTTTGAAAAACTCTAATGTTAAATTACCTTCCGTACTCAAACTTGAACGATAATCTGACAATATGACACACATTAGGAAGACAGTCAAGAATTTACTGCTTCGCGAAGCATATCGTGAAAATTTTTATAAAACATGTGCATCTTAAAATATTTCATAATGTGAATTGCGACACGATCTCATCATTTTGTTAATATATCATATTATGAACTAAATTCTGAAGTTACATACTAAATAATTAAAGCTTGGTCCTTTATTGATTGGTAAAAACCAATCTAGATACTTCAAGCAGTAATTATAAAGCATGTGAATACTTTCTACCCAATGTCTACACAAATTTCATCTACTGACCACTACACACTAAAATTTGCCACACTATTTTTTCTTAGGAACGCGAGTATTACATTTATTTTAAGTGAGATAAAAGGATTCAAAAAGTAAGAATTCTGTTTCCACAAACGGGATGAATTTTTATTTGGTAAAATGAATCACTGAAAAAACCAGCAAATTAAATGAACTGAATGAAATCACGAAGGGAAGTAAGAAGTGTACACCAATGCGAAATTCAAATAAATCTTTTAAGTCGCAAAATTTCGCAACCTTTCTAGAAAATAAAAATTTCAGGAAAGAAATTTAAATACATACCTTGTACAACCGCGTTGATTCATCATCAGTAGACACTTTATTCTCTTTAAAACTAGACTGAATTCTCTTTTTTAGATAACTTTTATCGGAATGCTTCAGGTTATTCACATATGTTAAGAGATTTTTGTAAAGTGACAGGATTTCTCTTCTGGAAGCCATTTATTCAATTCAGTTCAAAATTATTTCAATAGACCGAATAGAATTTGGGAAAATCTGTAACAAAAAAGCATAGATTTTATTATGCATAGTATATCGACAGATTCATCAAGTACGTGAGTATGAGCTACACTCAGAAAGTAAGGGGTGATGGTGATAACCGGATGTCCAAACCGAGGTAGGTAGAGAGGGATTGGAACATGAAACTTAGTGACCGAAAGCTGAACGTCTAATCACTGTGCCATCGCTCCATTAGCGTTTATGACGAACATACAGCTACTTAAAAATGATGAAATATACAATTATAACTTGCGGGTTCGAGGAAAAAATAATCGAAAGCATTATCAATGTAGGCTTGTTTATTTCACTGGGACATTCGAAAAAAAAGTGACAGTAAAGTTATCCCTTTATATTATTTACAACAATGAAATTGTTTCTTTACGATGGATTGTGCACAAATACTATTAGCTAATTGCATCTATAGAAAAGACTATAAAAACACCATCCCCGTTAGTTAAAGTGCCATCGATATTGAGATGTAGCCAAACAACTTAATAAAAGTTAGATATAAACTATCATGGGTACTTAGGCCAACATTTGATGAGTTGTACAAAGGTGTAAGTGCAGAAAGATATTTACTCAGTAAAACGATGTGAAAGTTATACATAGTGAAGTCGTGGTAGCAAAGTTAATGAGAGGAACACGATATAGTAACACACTTGTCAGTCAGTCAGATACAAGGTAGGACCAAGTACATATATGCATCAGTCCAAGTTGCCATACCTCATTAGCACAGCAAGATGAACATCGGATTCATAAAAGTAGTTAATTTAGAGGTGGTAATATATAAAAGAAAGATTGCAATCAAGGATATAGTACAGGAAGAAAAAATTAGTTCATAGAAAGAAAGATATGAAGCAATTTTAATCTTAGTTTAAGGGAAGACAGAGAGTGTATACATCTACGCCATTGTGATCGATTCAGAGCCATGTCACCAAGAGTCTCCAACCATTGGTTACGATAGTCACGCGGACCCCTACCAAGTAGTCTGCATCTACCAACATGGCTCAGACTAAAAGTTAGTGACTTCAAGCACTGATGCCACGTTTTGGTTTGGCCGCCCCTAACTTTCGTCTAACCATCTCCAGCACCGGTTAGCATTGCACGTCGTGGTAATCGGTGTTCGGACATACGTAACACGTGGCCCAACCATCTCAGTCGATGAAGATTCATAACCTCATCAACTGATTTACCATCATTACCTAATACCCTGCGTCTAACCTCACTATTACTTACCCGGTGATCCCAGCAGATGCCAGCAATATTTCTAAGGCATCTGTGGTCAAATACTAGTAGCTTACGGGTGTCTTCCACTCTTAAAGGCCATGTTTCGCTGCCGTAAATTAAAACAGAACGGACTGCCGCGCAAGATACTCGTCCTTTTATTGATAGACGGATATCTCGCCTCCGCCACAGGTGACGTAAGTTGGCAAAAGCCAAACGAGCTTTTCGAATCCGTGCTGAGATTTCGTCAGACACCAGCCCATTAGGGCTGATCAGACTTCCAAGATAAGTGAAGTTGTCAACGCGTTCGACTACTTCACTTCCTATCCTTAGTTCAGGTGTTGACGCAGACCAGTCCTGAAGCAACAACTTGCATTTAGAGGGAGAGAAGCGCATTCCAAACATTCTGCCATTGTTGCTCAGTGCTACCAGAAGACTCTGCATTTTATCAGCGTCTTCACCAAACAGGACTATGTCATCTGAGTATTCTAAATCGATAAGTGGACCTCCTGGAAGGAGATCAATACCCGAGAATTCAGTCGATGAGAATGTTATACCCATCAGTAGGTCTATGATGAAGTTAAACAAAAATGGAGAAAGTGGACAGCCTTGACGGGCACCAATTGAGGCTGCAAAAGCAGATGACATTTCGCCATAAGCTTTGGCTCGACTAGTAGTATTCGAGTAAAGAGCCTTTACAAGGTTTATGCACTTCTGAGGTACGCCTTTCAATAACAGACACTGCCACAGAATCTCGCGGTCTACTAAGTCAAATGCTGCTTTTAAGTCAAGAAAGACCACAATTGTCGGACGCCGATAAGTATACCTGTGTTCCAGAACCTGACGAATGGTGAATATGTGGTCGATGCAGCCACGACCATGTCTGAAGTCAGCCTGATTTTCTCGTAACACACTTGAAGGGATTAAGATAATGAAGAGAAGGCAAGAGCAGAACAACAAGTGGATAAAGCGCAAAACTTGGCAGGGGTCAATCTTGGAAACAGAAGATAAACGAAATGACCAGGTGAATAATTATTTAAACAGAATAAGGAATCAAGAACAAGATGTTGATATGGTGGAAATTTACAGAAAGATGAGAAACAAATACATTCAAACGAATGAAACCGATTTTGCCTGATTTTACCCACTGATTTAGGCTTTTTATGTTGATAGCTCGGAATAAATTCTTACAAGTACTTCCAATTAAAGAGACTATAAAAGTGATAACTTTTCCGTAAGTCCTATTAACTACGTCAGTCATGCATATGACTCGGGGTGCATATGCAACGGCTTAAATTCCAAAACCTCATGTCAGCACAGCGAGGGAATTAAAAAGAAATAAGTGCTAAACATAACAAAACACAACTCAAAAGGAATAAATAAAGCAAAAAAATGAAGAACTAGGTATGACAACTAATTTAATATTTAGAAGATGGAGAACAAATCCAACCAAACCACTTTAAGTCATGTCAGCCGACGTCTACAACAACTTACTATGACTATTAGGTAAGACGAAACCATGAAATTTCCAACTGTCAAGACAGCACAGATCACCAGTAAATAGATTCAGGGACTGATGCTACGTCTTTATCGACCTTCTCCAGGCTTTCCTGGATACTGAACCGCGTGATAAGTATCAGCTAAGCATTTGTAGTACATAGCTTATTCATATCAACTGATGTAGATTGATGACCTGAATAACCGGTGTACCCTATACTCTACGTCTAACTCCAATATCACTCATCCTGTGATCCAACCTTATAAGGGTAGTGATTTCCAGTACATTACAAACATTCATACGCTTTTACTTAAGAGACCCGAGAAATTACATTTCGCCATTGCTTACCAGAACTGCGTCACCTTACGGATCATACTCCCGTTAAGAAGACGACCCAGATCTCTTACAGAGTACAGAGGACCACAATTCCAGAGGTCTTTGACCTAACTTACGATGAGCGACTTCATAGGTCAGACCATATCAAATTGAGAGGCCATTTAATTATGATGCACAAAGTACTATGAAATGATTTTGAGGAAATATTTTTATTTTTCCAAATCAAATCAGGACAACTAAAAGGACACAGCAGGCGAGTTCGTCAATAAACAACGAACAGAATATTCTAGTAACGGATTAATTTCAGTCACATGCATGGGTTCAACTACCAAAAACGAAGATACAGTCATGTCTTCAAAATATAGAAAGCGTTGCAATCTTCAGCTATTTTACGCTTTCGGTTTATCATGAAAGTACGTTATTAGCTAAGGTGTATGAGGAGCTACGTTTAAACATTCAGTTTCAGTTTGGAAAGGACAGTAGGCTTCATGGTATGTGTCAGTCCTGGCAATAGTGGTCTCTCAGTTGATCCAACTTTCTTTTGAAAGAGTCGACGGATGGAGCCTCAACCACGTGCTGAGGCAATGAATTCCACTAGTTGATGATTCGATGGGAAAGTCGATAGTCAGCTGACAAGTAATTTGTTCTCGGCTTATGAACTTTTTTGGAGTGTCCTCGTAAATTCTCTGTTTTAGAAGACAAGAAAAATGAGGGCATATCAGGTGCAAATTTATCACTAAGCAATTTGAAAACTGTAATCAAGTCGCCTCTAGTTCTACGATAAGACAGTCAGAAAAGGTTTAGCTTGGCCAGTCGAGCATCATACGGAAGCTTCACTATTCCGGGAATCAGCTTAGTCGCCGTTCTCTGAACCTTTTCCAGAAGCTCACTCTTTTTTAAGCGAAGGCTAGCCGCTTGTATGCAGTACTCAAGTTTAGGGCGTACAAACACTGTATACAAAGTCAAAAACGTTTTAGTGTCGACATGACTAAAAGACCTACGTATTGACCATAAGGTTTTAAAACCTTTGGCGGCTATTGCACGGCAGTGTACAGTAGTCTTTGAGTCTTGGCTAACGATGACTCCTAAGTCATTACGTGTCTGGACAACAGGTAGCTCAGTGTTATTCATCGTGTATGTATCTGTACCTTGATGACCGATATGTATCACAACACACTTGGAAGTATTTCTCGGCAACTGCCAGGTTTGAGGCCATTCAGATAATTTCTCCAGGTCATTTAGGAGTTCTTAGCTATCACCCTTACATTGTATCGTTCTCCATATCTTGACATCGTCAGCATATAGCAAGACCGATGATGATAAGAGACGAGGAAGGTCATTTACATACAAGCGGAATAGCACTGACCCCAAAACTGTACCCTGGGGCACTCCACTAAGCACAGTTTCCCAGCTAGATAACTTTGAGTTCACCCTTACTCTTTATTGGCACCCAACTAGGAAGTCTTTCATCCACATCAATAAATTGCCTCCAATTCCGACGTTTCTTAACTTATATAACAGCCGGTTGTGCGGAACTTTGTCAAAAGCTTTGCTGAAATCAATGAAGGCTACGTCTACAGGTAGCTTTTGGTCCTTAAGAGCGCACCAGCTTTCACGAGCGACTTATAAGTTAGTGAGACAAGAATAACCTATTCTGAAACCATGCTGCCTCTCCGAAAGGATCCGGTTTTTATCGAGGTACTTAAACAGCTCCTTCTGAATAATCTTTTCTAAGATTTTAGCAACCACACTAGTTAGGCTAACGGGTCGGTAATTCTCAGGTGTGTGTTTCGTACCTGTTTTGAAGACAGGATTTACTATGGCGTTCTTTCAGTCTTTTGGTAAACGAGCCTGCATTACGGATAGGTTAAAACATGTACTTAAAGGGCTTGCAACGAAATTAGATAATTCCTTCAGTAGCCTAGGATTTAATTCATCGGGCCCCGTGGATTTACCTATGTCAAGCTTATTTAGCAGACCAAAGACATCGAGTTCTTTAATGGTCACTCTATCCAGTGTATGCGTGAGGGGATTTGTATGCGCTGACGGGAAGGGTGCTTCTATGGTATATACATTGCTAAAGTAGTTCGAGAACACTTGAGCCTTTCCAAAGTCGTCCTACACTAATGATGCGGCAGTACTGTTTCCCCATAGTTCAGGAATATTTCGTCTTCTTTTTGTCTTTTGGCTTATATAGGAATACAAGCGTTTAGGACATTCTATGGATTCCTTGACAATATTTTCTTCGTATAACTTCCTAGACTTACGGAGGGTCGAGGCACAGGTATCCCGAGCTTTTCGATACTGAGATTTTATCTCATCAGTCCTCAGTAACCTAAATCTATCCCACTGAACCATGGTGGTGAGTTTTTCGGCCCCTTTGGTATAGTTCAAGGGATGTGAGGTGTGGTAACTTTTAAGTATAAATTTCGAAATGCGTTCCAAACCGTTTCAATGGAGGACTCTGGGTCTATTGTCCAATCTATTAACGATGCTGAGTGCATGATATCTGGTATGTTTGCTTTCCAGACGTTAGGTCTGGATTGAGCTAACGCGTGCTCGTGATTGACAGTTATATGGAAGTCGAAAGTTAAAACTGAGTGATCAGTTTTACCCAGGGGTGGCATGTAATGGAGGTTTTAACTTTCGACTTCCATATAACTGTCAATCACGAGCACGCGTTAGCTCAATCCAGACCTAACGTCTGGAAAGCAAACATACCAGATATCATGCACTCAGCATCGTTAATAGATTGGACAATAGACCCAGAGTCCTCCATTGAAACGGTTTGGAACGCATTTCGAGATTTATACTTAAAAGTTACCACACCTCACATCCCTTGAACTATACCAAAGGGGCCGAAAAACTCACCACCATGGTTCAGTGGGATAGATTTAGGTTACTGAGGACTGATGAGATAAAATCTCAGTATCGAAAAGCTCGGGATACCTGTGCCTCGACCCTCCGTAAGTCTAGGAAGTTATACGAAGAAAATATTGTCAAGGAATCCATAGAATGTCCTAAACGCTTGTATTCCTATATAAGCCAAAAGACAAAAAGAAGACGAAATATTCCTGAACTATGGGGAAACAGTACTGCCGCATCATTAGTGTAGGACGACTTTGGAAAGGCTCAAGTGTTCTCGAACTACTTTAGCAATGTATATACCATAGAAGCACCCTTCCCGTCAGCGCATACAAATCCCCTCACGCATACACTGGATAGAGTGACCATTAAAGAACTCGATGTCTTTGGTCTGCTAAATAAGCTTGACATAGGTAAATCCACGGGGCCCGATGAATTAAATCCTAGGCTACTGAAGGAATTATCTAATTTCGTTGCAAGCCCTTTAAGTACATGTTTTAACCTATCCGTAATGCAGGCTCGTTTACCAAAAGACTGAAAGAACGCCATAGTAAATCCTGTCTTCAAAACAGGTACGAAACACACACCTGAGAATTACCGACCCGTTAGCCTAACTAGTGTGGTTGCTAAAATCTTAGAAAAGATTATTCAGAAGGAGCTGTTTAAGTACCTCGATAAAAACCGGATCCTTTCGGAGAGGCAGCATGGTTTCAGAATAGGTTATTCTTGTCTCACTAACTTATAAGTCGCTCGTGAAAGCTGGTGCGCTCTTAAGGACCAAAAGCTACCTGTAGACGTAGCCTTCATTGATTTCAGCAAAGCTTTTGACAAAGTTCCGCACAACCGGCTGTTATATAAGTTAAGAAACGTCGGAATTGGAGGCAATTTATTGATGTGGATGAAAGACTTCCTAGTTGGGTGCCAATAAAGAGTAAGGGTGAACTCAAAGTTATCTAGCTGGGAAACTGTGCTTAGTGGAGTGCCCCAGGGTACAGTTTTGGGGTCAGTGCTATTCCGCTTGTATGTAAATGACCTTCCTCGTCTCTTATCATCATCGGTCTTGCTATATGCTGACGATGTCAAGATATGGAGAACGATACAATGTAAGGGTGATAGCTAAGAACTCCTAAATGACCTGGAGAAATTATCTGAATGGCCTCAAACCTGGCAGTTGCCGAGAAATACTTCCAAGTGTGTTGTGATACATATCGGTCATCAAGGTACAGATACATACACGATGAATAACACTGAGCTACCTGTTGTCCAGACACGTAATGACTTAGGAGTCATCGTTAGCCAAGACTCAAAGACTACTGTACACTGCCGTGCAATAGCCGCCAAAGGTTTTAAAACCTTATGGTCAATACGTAGGTCTTTTAGTCATGTCGACACTAAAACGTTTTTGACTTTGTATACAGTGTTTGTACGCCCTAAACTTGAGTACTGCATACAAGCGGCTAGCCTTCGCTTAAAAAAGAGTGAGCTTCTGGAAAAGGTTCAGAGAACGGCGACTAAGCTGATTCCCGGAATAGTGAAGCTTCCGTATGATGCTCGACTGGCCAAGCTAAACCTTTTCTGACTGTCTTATCGTAGAACTAGAGGCGACTTGATTACAGTTTTCAAATTGCTTAGTGATAAATTTGCACCTGATATGCCCTCATTTTTCTTGTCTTCTAAAACAGAGAATTTACGAGGACACTCCAAAAAAGTTCATAAGCCGAGAACAAATTACTTGTCAGCTGACTATCGACTTTCCCATCGAATCATCAACTAGTGGAATTCATTGCCTCAGCACGTGGTTGAGGCTCCATCCGTCGACTCTTTCAAAAGAAAGTTGGATCAACTGAGAGACCACTATTGCCAGGACTGACACATACCATGAAGCCTACTGTCCTTTCCAAACTGAAACTGACTATAAGTAGCGTAAGCTTTCGTATGTTTTCCAGAGTTCACTGTTGGTCCTTGAGTGTGAAATCAATATTAACCGGATTTGGATTTGATTGGTTGTCCCAAAAATATTTCAAGGACAGCGGGCTTCAAAAATGCTAGTCGAAGGTCAGTATTTCTTCTTGATATTTGCAGTATGTTCGTGACATCGTGGTTCGTAGCTTAAGACGTTCACTGAGCTGGTATTACTTGTTTGCGTAAGGCGGACAGATGTAACTTATGTATATCCAACCAATAAAGCTTAGATACAAATCTTAGCAATATTGTCAACGAATATTCGTTGATATAAAGTAAGAATATTTTAGATCATATCTCTCAGGACTCCACTCGTCTTAAGTCTCTATCCATATAGCATCAGATTCACTCTTGCTTCATGCAATTCAGCCTTTTAAAGGCAGTGATTTCGAACTTGTGATTTATCTTTGCTTTTGTGCATTTATTGCATCAAAGTATACTTGATCAACTTTGACTTGATTTATCCTGGTTAAGGCTTGGAACTTTTCCTCAAATCCATTTTGTGTTACCTTTTTTAGTTGATTATCACACTAGTGATTATCTTGTGTATTTCTCCCCTTTACATCATTTTAAAATGGTCGGTTCTGCTCTCAAATGTGAACAGCCAAATCGCTTATTCATTGTAGAAGATGGAATTCAATATAGTGAGTGCAAAACATAGCTCTATGAAATGAGTACTCGTTTAAATCCCATCGCATATAAAAGGTGCTCAAAGCCTACCTTCCATTGGGTTTGCATGCTTTATTGTTCGTGTAAAGCATTACTCGTCCAATAGACAATTAGCCTTCTGGCGTTGGCCAGCAAAATGTTGATGAGGGCTAAATTGGTAACATGGGTAATGACAGAGAAGAATGTGTCAGTGTAGTAAGTGCTGTTACGGAACGAGCCCAACAACCAACCGCGCAACATGCATTAAATAAATCTCTTTTGAAACAATTCATTAGTAAAATACCACTGAATATTGGTAGTCACGATTCTAAGAATTTGGTCTCATCGAATATTATCGTAATTTACTCGAATCAAATGACTCTGATCGTTAAACAGCCAAAGTAAAGCTTCTAGTTGTTAACAGGTAGAAAATGACAACACGATCAAAAGCCGTGAACAACACTTCCAAAGAAGTCAAATCCATTCTTAATTTAGAAAAGAAATGACTCTGCCATAAAACATACACACAATTTGGATTTAGTTGGATCCGCCATCAGAAATGTACTACTAGAAGAGATTTCAGTGGTAAATATCACTAAAGGGACGAGACTCTGTAAAAAGTTTGGAGGTGAGGCCCCATCAAGTGGGAGTGTGATGCTAGTACTTGAAATTTACGAAGAAAGGACGTTATACTAAATGGCTCATGCAAAACTCGTGATCTGAATATCCATATCTGACCAGATCAGTCACCTGAGGATTGGATCAAGTTGAAGAATGCCCTTACTGAGTTAGAAACTCAAAAGCGAAACGGCAAAGCAAACCTTAGGGTTTAGAGATTTTGGGTAGTCAGGTATTAGAAGCCAATTCTTCCGAGACCTGTATGGGTAGAATTAGTGATTCTTAAAACACCTTAAATGTGTGCCACACGAACGCTCGTAGTCTTAGAAATGAAACGTACGAGTTAAGTTTGATGGTGGACAAGTTAAGTCGCGATATGATTATTGTCACAGAAATGTAGCTTATTGTAGATACAAACTGTCCTCCAATCATTGCAGGGTATATCTGTATTAAAAGTGATAGAGTAATAAACCGCAGGAGACACGAGTGACAATAGGAGGAATATACCGTAGTCCATCTTGTCTTGCTAACGACTTTATCTTATGTTATATCTATTCTTGGAGTGAAGCTGAATGTTGTCTCACCGTTGGAGATTTCAACTCACTGCATATCAGCTGGATAGAGCTTACAACTCCAGGTGAATGTTTCGTTAGCAACCTTCTACCAATCATTATTCAGTGTGCACTTGTACAATGTATCTTTAAACCGACACATTGATTTGGGACACGAACCGTCATTGCTGGACCTTGTCTTTACACACCACTGTGATGTCATTGATATTCAACGCCTCTTACTATCAAATAGTGATCACGTTGCACCGTAATTTAGGTTTCGAACACAGTATGCAATGCGTATCTGCTTCAGTCTTTACCAATATCTGGTGAGCTAACAGTCAGAGACTGTACTATCTCAACAGACTGGTCGATCAATGCAGATGTATCAATCGAAGACGAATGGGATAAGTTTAAAGCTACATTCTAATTCGTAGCATCACCGTATATCCTATGGTAAATAGGTAGGCTATCACATTACACTCCATGGATGGACAATGAAAGCCGAAAGCTGCTGAGGCGTCGGAAACACTTCTAAAACTTATTCTTGTCAACAGGCCACAAATCATTTAAGTGTGGATACCGAAATATATGTAAAAAGGCATAGCTAGATGCCGTACCATTTATGAGGGATAGTTGACAAATGATAGCTATACCTGTCCATAACGCTTGTTTTCGTGCATTAAACGAAGAACAAAACGTAGTGACGGTATTCCTCCATTACCGTTGCACGAAAATTCAGATATACTAGCTGGGTCAAATCTGAGACTCAGACTATTTCAGCAAAGTTTATCGTACGAGTATTGTTAACAATACCCCTTGCGGACAATATATCTGGGGCAATCAAGATGCTCTTCGACATCTTCCTTTCCCACACTCAACTCCTTAGTGATTGGAAAGATGCTATAGTTGGTCCTGTATTTAAAGATGGTCAGAGATAAACAGTGTCTATGGCTGCCCAACTGTTTTTCTAGTTCTATATTTCAGTAACAACTAGGAAAACAGTTAGGCAGCCATGTAAGTGATGCCCACCCCGAGGCAGCATGGAATGATATCCGAAAAGCTGCCGAAACAGCAGTGATATCTGCTGGTAAGGTAAACCACAAGGTTAGGGAGAAACACTGGATCTCAGCAGCATCTACCGCACTGATAGATGCTCGGAAACTCATTCCACCCGGCTCTGAACATAATGAAGAACAGAGTCAGCTTAAGCGCAAGCTGACGAGAAGTCTACGCAATGATCACGAACAGTGGTGGGTAGCGAAAGCAAGAGAGATGGAAAAGGCAGCGGCAATAGGTAATAGCAGACAATTGTTCAGGCTTGTTAAGGAAACCGACTGTTAGCGAAACAATCTCAGAGAAAGACGGACATATACATTCTCAATCCAGGAGATTGAATCGATGGGCAGAACACTTTAGGGATCAGTTCAACTGGCCTTCAGCCACACTTCGGTTTCCCACGATCTCCAGTCAACCTGAATGGCAAATTAATGTAGGTCCTCCGTCTCTTTACGAAGTTGAAAAAGCCATAGAAAATCTGAAGCGAGGGAGAGCAGCAGGCCCTGACAGGTTTACTCCTGAGATTTTTAAGGATGGTGGTTCAGTATTAGCAGTGAGATTAACTGAGGTCTTAGGTAGAATTTGGGAACTGGACGTAATCCCATCTGACTGATCTCAATCACTGATTGTGCCAGTCTATAAGAAAGGACAAAAATCCTCTTGTGACAATCACAGAGGGATCAGTTTGACAAATATAGTGTCTAAAATATTAGCTTCAATAATACTTCGACGCCTAAACAAAGCTCATGAGGAGCAGGCTAGAGAAAATCAGGCTGGTTTTCGACCTGGACGTGGTTGTAAAGACCAGATATTCACATTACGTCAGGTTCTAGGACATAGACTTACGTTCAGACGCCACACAATCGTAGTATTTCTCGACCTTAATGCAGCATTCGACTCTGTTGATCGTGATGTTTTGTGGCAGTGTTTGTCACTGAAAGGAGTACCAAAGAAGTACATTAACCTTATAAAGGCTCTCTACTCGAACACAACTGGTAGAGTGAGAGCTTATGACGAACTGTCATCAGAATTGATTACCTCAAGTGGTGTTCGTCAAGGCTGTCCACTCTCTTCATTCTTGTTCAACTTTGTCGTTGATGTGCTTTTAGAGATAACACTTTCCTCATCTAAATTTCCAGGGGTTGGACTTCTACCGGGAGATTCACTTTTTGACCTAGAATATACCGATGACATAGTTCTGTTTGGTGAGGACAATGAAAAGATACAGAGTCTTCTGACCAGCACATAAGCAACAATGCAAGCATGTTCGGGATGCGATTTCCCCTCCCCTCGAAAAGCAAAATGTTGCTTCAGGATTGGGTTGCATTGACACTCGAACTAATGATAGGGAGTGAAGTAGTTGAGCGTGTCGACTGCTTCACTTATCTTGGAAGTCTGATCAGCCCTTGTGGTCTGGTGTGTGACGAAATCTCAGCACGGATACAGAAGGCTCGACTAGCTTTTACCAACTTGCGTCATTTATGGCGTAGGTGAGATATCCGTCTATCAACCAAAGGACGGGTTTACTGCGCAGCAGTTCGTTCCGTCCTACTTTATGGCAGTGAAACATGACCGGTAAGAGTAGAGGATATCCGTAGGTTACTAGTATTTGATCATAGGTGTCTTCGAAACATTGCTCGTATATCCTGGGACCATCGAGTAAGTAATGCAGTTGTTAGGAAATGGGTACTATTTAAGAATGGCAAATCAATCGATGTAGTGGAACTTCATCAGTTGAGATGGCTGGGACATGTGTTACGTATGCCCAACCACCGACTGCCTCGATGTGCGGTGTTCAGTGGTATAGGAGTAGGTTGGAAGAAAGCTAGGGGCGGCCAGATCAAGCGTTCTTCGTAAGGGAGTTTGGGAAGACCCTTCACCACGTTTTTTTCCTACACGCTGAACACGTTCAAATAAGTTAGTATCCTTAATAAGACTTGGACCGGCATCTTTGATACAGTACCCTTGGTGTGGTCTGATACAGGCGGTATATAAAATCCCCCAAATGCCCTGGGACGGCAGAGAGTGGGGAGAGTCCGCTCTTCCTCTCGAAATACTCTCACACGGCCACGCGTATACAGCCTCTGCCAGGGAAGTCCTACTCATTGCCTTCTCATGGCGGGGGTGTTGTTTACGAAAACGAGAGGACGAAAAGCGAATGTCCGGCGCTTTAACCGGACCCAAAACCAATGGTGCACTTAGGCTCTAGTATCCTGC